GACACAATATTGGCCTTGCAGACTCACCCTGTAAAAGCTAATTGCCCGTGGCACCAGGCTGGCCTTCCCTTAATGAACCATGTGCCTGAGGTTAATTAAATTTAGACAGGAGCTCTCGCGGGTCACAGCGTTTCTCTGGAAAAAAAATAAGAGCTGGTAGAAAATGGGGCAAAGACACCCAAGAGTGAATTTATGAACACTTGAATGATGTATGAGTGCATTAATTATATATGAACCTGTGGGGTTGTGAACAGTGCAGAAAAAAAATCGACCATGTTTTGCCATTATTGCTCTGAATGTTGTTGTCCCTTGTGATTTCAGACTGTGTAACTGACATTTTATCGTAAAGGAACAATTTGTGATTTAAAAGTAAACAAGAGATGCTTGATCACTGCTGCTGTCACTGACACAAGAAACCAATTCAACTGCTATTGTGTTTTCTGATGATATTAAAGATTTGTTTTTATGGTAATCACTTGAAAATACTAATAAAATGTATTTATTCCACTGGACATGACTTTATAAAATTGCGTCTACGATGCGGAGTCCTGCCCGATGCGGCCGTGCACTGTGGTATTTGGGGGTTAGAGACCCATCCTCTCTCCTCAGAGCAGATATAAGAGCATTGGCACAGCCTTCAACTTAACCCTGATCTATATCAACTCGTCACCCATCAGCACATCCTTTAAATACACAACTGTATAGATGTCACAATACCGGAATTCAGTAGTCTGATACCCGTTTCAATACCACGGTAAAAAACAATGGCAAAATAACATATGCCATGTACTTTAAACACAACATCACAAAAACAGACAACAGTGGCATGCAGCCTTCAACAACCACTCCGAGTACTCTTCTATGCTTTCCTGTTTGCTTTCTACACTTCAGTTGATCGTTTTTTGTAATCTGCCAATCAGCCTACATAAGTCTAATTTGTTTAACTCCTATTCCATGTATTTCATTTAAGTTGATCAGATATGAAGATACTGAGGTACCATTTCATGTTTTTTCTTTCCTAATGAAAGAGTTGATAAGAGACTGGTGCTGATAAATTCAAATATTTTGCACTGTATGCAAAATATAATTGTCAATGAAACTTATTTGCGTGTAAGTAGGGTGAGTAAGTTTGGAATGAATGGACACCACTTTGAAACATCGTACCCTGTTCTCATAATGCATTACTGTGGCTCACAGTGGCTCTGCTGTTTACATTAGGAGTTCTTTATTTCTTTCTCTGTATTAATTGGTTAATAAAACTGTCCTTGACCTTCCAAGAAATGTGTAATAAATTTGCAGTGTTGGTTAAATAGCCTTGAAGGTGAAACTGTGTGTGTGTGTGTGTGTGTGTGTGTGTGTGTGTGTGTTGGTATAAATGACAGTGGGCCCATTTACTGTGTTTAGTGAAACAGCTGACTCTCAACCTGTTAATCATGTTCAGTGGTAACTGTAGATTATGTATTTTTGATTTCTCTTAACTATCACATGAAGTATACACTGAAAATGATCATCCTTCAACAAAAACAAAATAATATAATTAAAGAACAGTCCCCCTGTTGGATCCCTTTTTGCTACAGACCCTAAGACTGTGCTCTAACAGACTTCTCTTTAGAATTCTGCCACAACTATTGTGATTTTCAGATTTTGCCTGCTGGGACTCGAACCACAGCATCACAAGCTCTCCTTTTCAAACATTTGGTCACAAGGTGGCTTTCCCCACTGGCCTGCTTGCTGTTTACTCAGAGCGGTGCGTTGACTTGGTAACATGTTAACATATCTTACAACATGTCAGACAACTGAACGCTTGTGGAGCCGCCTCAATGTTCAGCCCCATAACCTGGGCAGATGTGGAACCTCTGACCCTTGACCTGGAAAATAAAAGCAAAAACAGACATGTAAACATGGCGGCTAATGGCCTTCCTACCCACCTCAACGCTCACCATATGGTAACAGAAAAAACAAACAAGGTCTGAATGGTGTCTGTGTTCTCCACCGACAGCCGGCCTGGAAGGGAAAGCCATTCTCGCAGTGACCCCTCCGGTTCCCTCTGAACCAAATATCACAGGAAATGCTTTGGTATGGTGTGGCAAATCAGCAGACAAAACACAGTGGGGTAATTATGCATACTGTTATAGAACCTGGTGCTTTATTTGGTTGTTTTGATATTCTATTTTTATGGTCTCATAAACAAAAAATAGACCAAGCTTCGGCGTTTCCTGCAGGGATATGTGAGCCCTACAGAAGCAACTACAGACAGTAAATAAAATGATAAATATACAAGATTATAATGGTTTTATGTAAATATGCAGCTCTCCAGGTTACTACCATTTTTGTACAGTGGAGCGACAACTCTTTGGAAACAGTTTCCCCATTTACAACAGTAACATTTTAGATGCCGCCAGTTTTCCAGCTCCACCTTCTTGACTAGGGTGTGTGAATAAATGTAGGTTTTTTTTAGGTTCTTTTTTTGCCAAATTTTGTTTTTTTCCACATAGATCTGTGGATTAATTGTTGTGTAGAGAAAGACATTGTTTTTGGAAAAATATCATTTTCCATTGCTGTGAGCACCAGAAATGAAACCCCATTCACCTTCATTGGACTGGATGATGACACATAGAACCAGCACCATATACATGATGAAACACCACTAAGACAGTAGGACAGTATGTCTTTGTGTAATTTGTGTGAACTGACCCTTGTTTATCACGACACTACGGCTGTGGCCTTGCTGTGGTAGTTTGTTGCACCCTGGCAGTCACTGCAGGTGGCATCTGGCTGATGCTGCTGCATTTTCACATGCTGCAAGGGAGCTCTGTATGTGTGTGTGTATGTGTGTGTGTGTGTGTGTGTGTGTGTGTGTGTGTGTGTGTGAGAGAGAGAGAGAGAAAGGGAGACCTTCTGCAGATAAAGATGAAAGAAAAAGAAATGCACATGCACGTTTCCAGTCTTGTTCTTTCCGCCAAACCTTTACCGGCTCAATATTTCTCCCTCTCTCCATCCTTTATCTTCCTTCCATCTTGTCATCCTTCCCTCTTTTCATTAGACGCTGCAGGAATTCTCCTCTCCTAATCAAAAGAATATACGTGTGTGAACATCCCCCGCTGTGTCTATGAACACGTGTGTCTGATGCTGTGTCGTTGCATTTGCATGGGTACACTTCGTACGTGAGGGAAGCCTGCCGGGGAGGGTGTGTATGTGTGCACGTGGGTGGGCGTGAACAGTCTCTGTGGAGATGGAAACCCACTTGATGGTTATTGGCTAGATGTGGAGGGAGGTGGGGCCTCCTTCAATGAGCAGTGAGAGGGTCCATGGACACGAGGATGGAAGGATGCAGAGACATGGAGGGGGGCGTACAGTTGCAGAAACTGCTAAGAAGAATCTGAGGAAGACAGAGAGGGAAGGAAAGGGCTGAGGAAATACAGCAGCGAGTTTCAGTCCCATTTTAACAGGAGCAGGACTTTAATTAATCAATTAACTGAACAAAAATTGGCTCTGATATACATCCACAAAATATTTACTGAATCTACTGAGGTATGATCATTCTGTAATAAAACAATTTATTTTCTAAAAGGAAACAAAATGTTGGGTGAAAATGCTCTCCCAATCAATGTACAGTATAATCCATCTTTCAGAATCGGCTTTATTGGCCAAATATGAGTACACACACAAGGAATTTGACTCTATTTTTCAGTTTCTATTATAGTTATAAGAACAATCTCACAATTTCAGGAAGACAGAAATGGATATACAGCTAAAAACAAGGACAACAAAGCATGTAATATACACATAGAGTGAAAACAACCTACAATGTCTATATACAACCCAAATTGTTACACATAAAATTACATACACAAAACTAAGTAGAAAATGTCAATGACATTCACATTAACAAAAACAAAACTGCAGTTTCATCTCAGCATCACCCAGTTGTTCATGAAGGATGGTTTTAAAAATGTTTTCAAGAAATAATTCATGTTTAATCTCATGTAGCCGTCTTGTCAAGTCACTAAAGTGGGTTCAATTCTCATCCACTGCCACTAAAGAGTCCATGAGTGGGAAGGCCAAGCGGGATTACATTGCTGTTGCTGCATTACACCCGGTTTACACTGCCTACCTGAGCAGTGTGTGTGTGTGTGGCAGAACGCCTTGCTTTTATTTAGACGCCCATGTTAACAGACTAGAGCAGTCACACTCCCTGCATGAGTTGTTCGTGGAAAGGGTCTGTTTGTAGTCATATCGACATTATACCAGCAACGTATACACCTGTCACTACAGTTTTCACAGACATGGAAAAAAAATATAAATGTATATTTTTAACTCAACACCTTCTGTATATGTTTCAGATTAAAAGCTCTCTGGTGTGTCTGTGGACAGAATCCGTTCACACGTTAACAAGGTTTTTTATTGTATGGTATGCAGCGCGTGCCAGATGCAGCTGTTGAGCGCTGTAGGTGACTGATACTGGTAGGTCGGGGCTCCTGCAGAGAATGGTGTGGAAGTGGAGGGTATAGCGCAATCCTGTGTGTTCACAAGTTGAGAGAAAGTGTGGTAAAAATCTCCAAAGTGGATAGAACACAAAAAACTTTTATATCAATAATAACAGTAAAACATTGACTTTTCAACCAACAGCAAATCCATCCTTACTGGGATATTGTCACCCAAAAAGGTTTTGTACAGTTGAAATACAGTAACAGTGGGGAAAAGGGGAAGAAGAAAAGGAAGTAGAGAAAGAGAGAGAGCCATAATGAGTGTGTAAAAGAGAAAAGGGGGGAAGGCTTGACAAGAGGGAGAGGAGAAAGGGAAAATGTGAGAATAATATGTGTGTAAGAAAGAGAGAGGAGGGGAGGGAACACCCAAGTGTGTGTGCATGTGAGTGTAAGAGAGAGAGAGAGAGAGAGAGAGAGAGAGAGAGAGAGCATGAGCAAGCAAGCAGGGGGAGGAGAGGGAAGCAGCAGTGGCAGAGCTGCATCATCACTACTGCCACTACAGCAGAGAGGAGAGGCAGTTTACTCGCTACCTCCCTCATCTCTCTCTCTCTCTCTCTCTCTCCCTCTTTCTTTCTCTCTCTCTCTCATACACACACACACTCATGCATACACACTATCTCCCTTTACACACACACACGCACTGGAAGTCCGCCGGCTGCCTCTGAGCCACACTAGAAGCTTCACAGTGAGGAGATCCTGGTGACATTATCCATCCCCTCTGGATGTTTGCCTGCCTGCGCTCGTCTGTCTTCAGGACTCTTCCTGCTCAAGACGCTGTGTCTGTGTGTGTATGTGTGTGTCAGAAAGTGTGTGTGTGTGTGTGTTCATTCCCAGTCAACAGCACAAGGCTGACACTTCCAGATCCGATGCTGCTTGTTTGGACTCTTGCTTTTGTTTGCTGAGACAGCGTGGAGGAGTGTTAACATCGGAGCTGCCGGGAAATTTGGCATTGTTTTTCCCTCCCTTTTCCTTCGCTGGCACACAAAGGGCAGAAGTGGATGCCTGGATTTTTCGGTGGCTGCGTGCCGGAGCAGAGTGCTTACCTCAGGATTTGCAGTCGAGGGGGGGGATATGATAAACAGCTGCGAGGGGAGGACGGTTTGCACTGCAGCATCAGACTGGCATCTCTTGCTCTACGTTGGGGAGTTTTTTTTGCCTCTCGAGGTTGCACACATGCACATATTTCACACCCAGCAGCAGCAGAGCCTGGCTGCATTTTGCATTCAACAATGGATTACTGCTGCTTTAAGGACAGGTTCCCTGCCCGCTGAGGGAGAGAAGATGCTGATTTAAGAAGAACAGAAGGAACGCTTTGTTTTTGGGGCAGAAGACGGGACAAGCAACTTCAGGATTAAAAAAGAGACTTGGATGACAGGATGACAGCTGCGTCGAGCTGAAACCACCCCCTCCTCCTCCCTACCCCTTCCAGTCCAAACATGAACTCCTCCTCCGATGCGAACCAAAGCGGTTCTCCCCCGTTCTGCCTGCTGGGTGCCGTGGGTTACTCCCATAGCCTGGATACCTGCGTGCTGGAGGTGGTGGTCATCCTCTTCCTCACCGTGCTGATCATTTCCGGCAACCTGGTGGTGATCTTTGTCTTCCATTGTGCCCCACTGCTGCACCACCACACTACCAGCCACTTCATCCAGACTATGGCCTATGCCGACCTGCTGGTGGGCGTCAGCTGCCTGGTCCCCTCGCTGTCCCTTCTCCACTACCTCCGAGGCCTCAATGAAGAGCTCACCTGCAAGGTCTTCGGGTATATGGTTTCTGTGCTGAAGAGCGTCTCTATGGCCTCGCTGGCGTGCATCAGCGTGGACCGCTACATAGCCATCACCCGCCCGCTGTCATATGCCACCTTGGTGACGCCATGCCGGCTGAGGGTGTGCATTGTCCTCATCTGGGTTTACTCTGCTTTGATCTTCCTGCCATCCTTCTTTGGCTGGGGGAAGCCGGGTTACCACGGGGACATATTTCAGTGGTGCGCAGACTCCTGGAAGACCAACCCCGGGTTCAGCACCTTCATTGTGGGGCTCCTCTACGCACCAGCAGCACTCACCGTCTGCTTCACCTATGGGAGTATATTCAGGATCTGCAGGCAGCATACGAGGGAGATCACCCAGCGTCACGCCCGGTTCAGCTCACAGGCCGAGGGCGATAAAGGCGAACGGGGGGAGCGGTGCGAGGGCTGCCCAGACAAACGCTACGCCATGGTGCTGTTCCGTATCACCAGTGTCTTCTACGTGCTGTGGATGCCATACATCCTCTACTTCCTCCTGGAGAGCGCTGGGCTGTATCACCACAAGGTGGCATCCTTCCTCACAACCTGGTTGGCGATCAGCAACAGCTTTTGTAACTGTCTCATCTACAGCCTCTCCAACAGCGTCTTCCGGAAAGGTCTTGGCCGCCTCTTTAGTCCATTGTTTCCTTCCTGCCTCGGCTGCACAGATGCTAAAAAGGCTCCAGCTCCAGTCAGCCCACGACCAGACCCTCGATGCCAAGTATGAGCCCCAACAACGGTGGATTTGGTTGGTCACTTTGGAGGCATCGGCCCTCTGTGTGTGCTTTGCTCTCAGCTGCGTAGCATGACACAGGTCTTTTTGGTCCCACAGTGAAATGTGTTGAGGACCGCCTGCACGGAGCACAGAGAGGTGGCCGTGCAGATGCCTGTTGGTCGTCTGAAAGGCTGAATTTGTGGAAAATGGAAGGCTGTGAAATTCCCTCTGGGTCTTTCTCAAATGCTCTTCAGTGTGATGCTGCTTTTTCATGGCTGCAAGGATCACAACCTGGTGACACTGAGTAAAGAAGTTTGGTACTGATTAAGAAAGTGGACTGCAGGATTACGATTCATGTGTCAGTTCAGAGGATATATTAAACACTCCTGCCTGCACTGACTTAAGAACTCCCAGATGCAAAAAAAGAAAGCACAACACGACTTGTGTGTGCGGTTCACTGAAATGCAAATAATATTTTAAATATTTTCAAGCCTGACTGAAAAATCTGCAAATTGCCTTGGTTTTTTCAGGGTAGAATTAGGTAATGCAAAAAATGTTAAACACTTGAAACAGACTACTGATCTGTTTCCTTTGAGAACTCCAGATGCTAATTAGTGTTTGAAAAATAACTGACCAAGAACTTGCCTGATTATCAGCCTGTGTGTGTGAGTTAAAAAATGTGTATCAGATAGACGTTAATCTCATTTCCCAGAGAGAAGATTGAGGTTTATTTAGAAGCGCATGTGTGTTTTATCAAAATGATTCCTCTATTGAAGTTGGGTGTTAGTAGGAAGCTCCAAGTATGTTTACACAGTCTCGGGTTTCAAATGAAAATGTCGATTTAAGAATTACCTTTACTTTCCAAAGGCCACCGACCCGGACCACTGCAGACAGTGGCATATCCTTGTCAAAGAGACAATAAATTGTATTCATTTGGAGAGTTTTATTCTCTGTTTGTGTTTCCTCCTCAGGGTTATCAGCAGTTCTTTGTTAAGCCTCTGGGCTGTTTGCCTTTGATCTCAGCTGAAACAGTATATGACTTTTAAATCACAAGCCACGTAGCGTCGTAAGATAATCACGTCCTGACTTTGTTGTGCAGCCTGTGTCAGCGTTTTGAATGAATCTGCTGTCTGCCGGGACCCACACAAGCCCGACTTCATTATAATCTTTATTGGTTGTGTCTCACTCTTCAGCTCTCCAATTTCTGATAGCTGTTCAGATCAGTGTTAAGTGGAAGGAGAAGTTTTAACATTCATGCATAACAAGCCCAACCTCAGTGTAAGAGGGTCCTTGTACTTTTCTGAGAGCAAGTGAAAGCTTGTGGCTTTTTTAGCTTCATGTAAATACACTTCAGAGTTTAAATATTTAAACAGTGGCTAACTGGGCCCTTTGGAGGATTTTGGCAGCCCCTGATGTAAAGTAGCCCTCCAGGATTACAAATGATTTTGTGGATAGAGTGTTTTGTTTTATAAGATAACTTATTTGTCACAGCCAAGTGGTCTGACATACTAAACTGTTTTTTTTACAGTGTTGAGAAGGAGAAGTATTTCTTTATATATTGTAGGAAGATTTCAGATGTACAGTTTGGTTTTGAAGTCACAATTAAATGGCATTTCTGAGAGCGTCTTGCTCCTGAATTTGACTTATTTGTGGTTAAAAGAGGGAACACTAAATGGATATACGGACACCCTCAGACCTCTGGGGCTGTTTCAATGATTTGGGCTCCTTAGATCCAATGAGAGGAAATTACAATGGTTTTTTAAAGGCAAAACACAGCTTTTTGTCAAAATCAGAATTCTTTTCATCTGTTTTACTGTATAAAAAAAACATTATGCCATAGAAATATGTGTGGGGAAACTGCAGGCAAAATTTGCAGTGAACTAAACTGAACTAAACAGAAACCAAACCACAGTTGCTGCACTCTGGTGTTGTAATTTGTAATTTATTGGTTTATTAAAGAGGGTATGTTCACATGAACAAGTATTTCTCTAAGGAACCGTCTGTCCCATTTACTGCACTTTGTCACAGAGAAACAGCGAGCTTAGTAAGAGAGCCAGCCTCTAACAAGTTCAAACAAGCTAGCCTTAGCTAAACTAGCCTAGCTTAGCAGAGTAGCAGTAACTGCCATCTCAGCTTCTGACTGTTGTGGATGTCACAGGATTTATTGTGGCTGCTTTTAAATCAAATGTTTTAAATTACTTATTGATTTATTGATGTTGATTTCTAAATAATTATCAACAAATAGTGGTTAGAAATAGTGTATTTTCCCCTCACATTCCCTGAAGATTGTCCAAAGGTAGAATTCAGATATTAGGTAGGCTATTATGCTTGGTCTGTGCTGATAATATTGGAGTTCAAATCTCATCTATCTATTACACTGTTTCCTGGCCAGCCTGAAAAAAGGAACTTTTGCGTTGTCTGCTTTATTTCTCTTGTTAATGCACACAGCTATCAGCTGTATTATATTAGTGTCGCTGTGGGACGAGACAAATGTCTCTAGTTGTTATTACTCCTGACTACCACAGGGCAGCAACGAGTAGTGTTCCTACCTGTAAACTACACTTACTGTCTTGGTTCGTGGGCAGGAGGACTTAGTGCAAAAAGAATGTTAATGTTAACCAAGCCTGGCTACAATAGTTAGTTAATTAAAAAATTAGCTCACGTTGCCTGAACTGTCTAGGGTCACTGTGAGGTCGGGCGAAGTTATATCACAAATTGGAAAATCAAGGGGCTGTGTTTATCTTCCGGAAATTTCTGTAATTGTAATTGCGTAATTCATTTTGAAAATGTAATTAGTTACACTCCTTGTTACTGCCAAAGGTAGTGAATTACCATAACACCCAACACTGCATGTCAGGGGGTCAGAGGTCATAGGGTTAGGGTTCACAGTTTAACCGGTGCAATGGGCACACTGGCTGCTGTCAAGTATTGAGTGTCCCACTGACCCTGCTGCCCCCAACACCTTCTATTTATATAACATTTTTCTATGTAACAATATATGTTATGTATACAGTGTCTGCTATGTAATTTCCTGCAAAGTGTTGACATGTTTGATCCCTGCTTGATTTGACGTGAGAGATGCTCCTGCGACAGACTATAACTGCATGATTCTGGATTAATGTTCCTGTCTCATGATGCTACTGAGAGCAATCCTGACTGTACTCCTTGTCTTAGTATCCTAACTACTGTTGTGTAATACAGATGGCTTATCGTGTTATTTACGAGGGCCAAGAGTTCCTGTTAGTTACGGTTCATTTCAGAAAACGAGAATGACCTGCAGAAAACCTTCTGGCATGCCTGTGATTTCCTTCTGATGCTGCTGTCGGGACAAAATGACGCCAATCTGCAAAAAGGGAAGTTTTGTAAGGAGTGAAAAAAAACCAAACCATTTTAATTCGACAAGTTTTAAGAGCTAAAGCACCAAGAAACTCGATTACTGCACAAGTGACAATGAAAAGACTTAAAATATTTGCAGTTTGTGTTATTTTTCCTTGACAGCAGTGACATGCTGCTCAACTGTGGGAGTCAGTGCAATACAACTTGCTGGTGTTCCCTCAAACTACAACAAATCAATAATTGTAGAAGAAAAATCAGAATGAAAGGGTTTTTACTATTTTAACTCTGGTTGAGCCGTTCGCTATTCAGCATGTGATCTTAATAAGTGACTGAAAATCTGCTGCAGATTATTGTAATAAAAGAGGTGTAATTATGTGATTAAAATCCGATATCCTGATTACTGTCTTTTGGATTCATTTGGTACCTATAATCCTCAAAACACACCATTCAACTATTTACAGTTGGGAAGAATTTAATGTAAACAAGATTATTACTTCTTAATCCCTTAAAGGTCCAGTGTATAACATTGGGAACATCTATTAGCAGAAATTCAATATTATATTCATGTTTTTATTAGTGTATTAGTTGTCTTCGTTACCTTAGAATTACGTTACCTTATTTTACAGTGGGAGCAGGTTCTCTACTATGGAGTCTGCCATGTTGAACCGCCATATGTACAGTAGCCCACAACGGACAAACCAAACACTGCCTCTAAATATGGCCTTTTGCGTTTCTTTTGGCTAATTTCACTGCCACTGTAGTTTCTCCTGCGCACTTGGAAGGCTGAGCTGTATTCAGTTGGTTGCAATCTTTAACTTCACCATTAGATGCCACTAAATCCTACACACTGGACCTTGTAACAACCTCAAAGACAAAATGGGAGTGGGATTTTTTTTACCTCATTCTGGTTTGCATTTGGCTGAATCCTTGCACCCTCAGGTCCACTTCCATTTCTGTCTGATGCCTTCTGTTTGTACCACGTCTCCATCATGTCTGGGTTTCAGATGTCCACTGGATTGGTTCTTCATGCAGCAGCCACTCCTCCAATCTTGTTTTAAACCATTTTGTTCACATTGTTTGTATTTAATTTAAAATACATTTGCAGCTCATATGATCAATGCAGTAACATACACTTTATGTCTGTACTTTAATGGTTTGAATTAGCGGATGTAGCACATCATCTTATCTCTTTGTATGTGTATTTCCATAACAGTTTATGTTAGCATAAAATAAAACTGTTCCTTCTCTGCAAGTAGAGAAATGAACCAAATACAGAAATGCTGCAAGTAGCACAGACGAGGGAAACTGTTTCCAGAAAAAAATAATAAATGAAGTCAGAAACCGTGATATCAACAACTGTGTTGATTGTGTTTTCTAGGTTTGGTGCTGCACATATGTTGTCAAGTTGGTGAAGTTTTGTCGATGTTAATTGGCTTTTGTTTTGTCTTTCTGTTGTAATGGCACTCACGGCCTCAGTAAAAAGTGTTTTATGTATCTATTTAATGTGGAGCTGAGTGAGACACATCTCATTGGTACACTGCCTACAATGGCACTGAGGGGCCCGTACTAGTTCTTCTTACATGCAAATTGAAAGTTGTATCATCACATCATGTTTCACAAATGATTGTTGCTTGCAAATTCTGAATAAAAGTGTTAACCAGTACAAAGTTACAGTGATTTAAAGATGACATAACTGTCCTAATTTTGGATTCTGTGCTCCCTGAAAGTCATCACTGTCAAGATGGTTTATTTGTCAGCAGTGCAAATTTCTGTGTCAAAGTTCATCAAAGCTGAACTCAACTTGAAACATTTGAGTGGACTTACTAGCTTATTTTACTGGAAATTTAAATGTTTGTAGTCTGACAGGTAACAGTGACAGCTGTATTTCATCGTGCTATAGCTGATTACAGGAGCAGTTCAGTTTTGTAGTGTGCCGACTGTAATCCCCACACATGTAATGCATTCCTCCAGCTCCGTCTCCAGTGTGTCCCTCTGCAGAAAACCCTGCTTTATTTGGCTCACATGACTGTTCTGTTTCCGTGCCAACCGCCTGGTCCCATTGCGCTCACATGACGTGACTATTTGTGTTTGATGCAATTGATTGGGCTCACATGAAAGTTATGGATCGGGAGTGAGTACACTGAACATCACATACAATCTGGAACTGTCCCGTGTTTTTGGTCCTGACCAGGCCTCAGAGCATCCACAACACCAAATGTTGATTTGTGTAGATATAGATCTCACTTTAAAAATGCTGTGATGATCTAACTAGGTTTAGTTCAATACAGTTTTCTAAAAGCCAATACTAATATACCCAGAAGTAGATTGCAGACTTTTTTGCTATGGATTGACAATTTGACCATTTTCATACCAACTAAAACTAAAACCAACAAATCCAGACAAATAAAATTATTTTTGGGGCAACAGCTTGTTGCAAAAAGGCTGAACCATAGTTATTCTTTCAAAGATAGATCTGACTTTATGAGTTGTCCTCAAACATGGCCGGATTGGGAATGCTTTAGGATCCCAGAGGGGGAGCTGGAAACATTGCTGGGGAGAGGGATGTCTGGACTACCTTGTTTAGCCTGCTGGCACCTCAACCCAGCCCCGGATAGGCAGATATTTGATAAATATATATATATAGTGATATTTTAAAATTCGATTGAGGATGGATAAAGTACTGTAAGCAGAGACTTGACAGTGAGTACATCATCAAATTAAAGCAGAAATCTGAAATAATATAAATGCAACATTGCCATAAAGCAGTTCTAATCACATAATGGTGTAATGTTACCAGAGGTGTTGAGTGAATAGCTACCACAGTATAAACAATATGGCAAATATATATTTTTATATCATCCAACCAGAGTTGGGAGTCTTTCAGTGATTAACTGATAGAAAAAAGCATAATTGAATCCATTAAAAAAATTGTTTTCTGTTTCTGTGAATTTTTTATCTTGATTAATCGTTGATGAATAACACAACTCAAAGACCTTCAATTTACAAAGATAAAACAGAACAAAACAAACTCATATTTGAGAAACACTAGAGAAGTTATGTAATGTTTGCTTAAAAAATAACAAATGAATGAATTCCTTTATAAAAATGGTTTCTGACAATTGATAATAATAATACATTTATTTATATAGCACTTTTCAAAACAGGTGCTACAAACTGCTTCACAAGACAGTAAAACAAGTAATAATACAATTATAAAATAGCTGTTAAAAACTGAACAGCACAAAAATGATCAATGACAATATGGTAATAAAGTAGCACAAGTAACAAAAAAAAAGTGATAAAGCAAATATGTATATATAAGCACAACTGATTAATAACTAATATTGGCCAGTATCAGCCCAATGTGTGTGTGATTGTTACTTCTTGAAAACTTAATGGAAGCCCCTTCCTGCATTACATTGGCTTTGTTGTGTGGCACGCATGGATCCCATGAAGCTTCTCCTCTCACAGCTTTGATCCCCTGATTCAAAAACATGTTATGTCAAAGTTTGTGTTTTTATTTTCCTGTGGGAAAATTGTGATGTTGTCAGACTCGGACTGCAGTCAAGAGTTACACAGAGGCTCAATCCCCCGGGGGAAATGCCTTTTCACAGAGGCCAACAGTGCCAAATTTGGACCAGGACTGAGAGCAGAAAGGAGGAGTGGGGGTTAAGGTTTAGAAGTGGGTGAGATTTTATGTATTTAGCTTGGAACAGTCCGACTCAGCTCTCCTCCACCCACACACTATCATTTCCAACGTGTGATCTGATGAATGTGACATCTTGAAAGCAAAACTCAATGTTGAATGTTCTTGAACTTCTTCATTTTAAACCCTTTATTCATCAAGTGTTCTGTATTGTGGGAGTATTGACCAATGAACATGAGTTAATAGTGTTCAAATCCAGTTGACTAAACCCCAATTCACGCACTGTTTTGACCAGAATGAAAAACAGTGTTTGTTTCTGATGTATATGTAAAATGAAATCAAATTTTAATCAGTTAATGTGAAATGAGGGTGAGTGCCAAGCTATGAAGACCTTCTTCTATTCTGCTAGGTTTACCTTGTGTTGATGAATTTGGTACTGTAAACTTCGGGGAGTTGTTTTCCAAACTGATATATTTACAATTTTTTTTTCAAACCATTGCAGGTTTTCCAGTTGTGATATTACTCCTGTAGAAACCAGAACAGTGCAGTGGGGGCTTTAAGCTTAGAGAAGCAAGCTTTCGACCGGTTCAGTCCACGGACCAGCAGGATAAATCTGGGTGGGGAAAGTAAAAAAAAAAAAAGTTCCACACTGTATTGCACAGTTTGATTACATGACATAGATAAGCTATAACGGGTGCAGTAACTAAGGTTACAGTTATACCCGTTTCGGGTCTGGTCCAGATGTTAATATCAGTGATAGAAGTGACTAAAAGATCAGCTCTTACTTACTTACTTACTTACTTACTCACTCAATAACATCTAACCAGGATCAGATTGAAAACTCCAAGAGGGTGTGTTGCATCAAATCTACTATATGTGTTGATGAAGATCATTTGATTAATTATTTAATGAAGCCTTTTATTCCAGTATTATACATACAGTATTGAACATCAGGCAGTGATTTTAAAATGGATACAAGTTGTAATTCATTTTCCAACTTATTGTTATAATGACCCAGTTCTGGGCCTCTGTACTGCAACAACACTATTAAATTATCTGTTTACTGGTTTAATTCAAATGGCCACCAGCTCATTATTTCATTTTCCATTTTGCTCTTTGTGCTGCTGTCTTAATGACACTGATGTGAATGCTGCTCTGTTGTGATGAAACAGACACGGTGATAGTGTGCCTCCGTTTAGTCAATCAATTAATTAAACAATATTATCAGGCACAGGACAGCCGATTATTCCTCCTTTTGATTGACTATGTTCATTTTTATATCTCTTATATATTAGCTTCAAAGTAATTACTTTGAATTGTCAAATAACTTAATTTATTTTAATATGTTTATCGAAAGTAGATTATTTAATTTTTTCAATTTTCTGTATCGGATCAATGTTAATTTGTATTTTATTATTTACATTACAAGTCAAAAAAATAAGTTTTTTATATCTTGTTCCAGCATAAGCATGGAAACAAGATTAAAATAACTCTGACTAGTGACATTTTTTGCAGCGCGGTCCTGTGAGTTGGTGCATTGTTGGTGTTTGGGAACCTGAGCGATAAGAAGGTGGGGGTCCTATCTGTAATCAGAGAGAAAGAGGGGAGTGAAAACAGCCTGTTCATGCTGCTAGTTATTCTAAGAGCCGAGGAAATGAGCCATGGAGCCAAGAACGACTCACCTGACTGCAATCATACACACACACATGCAGACGTATGGAGACACAACATGATATAAATGCACAGATACA